TTTCCACACGTCAAAAAAATTATTCTAGCAGACCATCGGCCGGCTCCGAGGTGAAAAGAAGGGCAGTGTCAGAGTCTTTAAGGACAGGTCTGGACACTCTCTTACCAAGAATGATGACATTCTTCAGCGACGGAGGGAGAAAGAGTACTTTGAAGAACTGCTTAACGCAGCGCAGCCGCAGAAAAGCTCGACCGTAGAGCAGAGTGGTACGGATATTACCATCTCTGCAGATAAAAAAGCCTGAAAAATGGAAAGGCTGCTGGAATTGATGAAATCCATCCTGAGATGCACAAGACACTAGGCGAATAAGGCATGTGCTGGCTTAAACGTGTTTGTCAAACTGCGACGACTGCAGAAAAGACGCCAGCGGATTGGAGAACGGGAGTTATTCTATCCGTATTCAAGAAGGGAGAGCACAGGGAATGCTCCAATTATAAGGATACTACATTATTGAGCCTCCCAGGTGAAGTCTACGCAAAGGTGCTAGAAAGGAGTAACCGTGAAATAGTTGACCTCAAGAGCCAAGAAGAGCCGTGTGGCTTCCGGCCAGGTCGATCTAACTTCCAGCCAGGCACATCTAACTATACATTTGCCCTGCGTTAGATTGTTGAGAAATCGTGGGAGTACGCCCATCCGGTGTACATGTGTTTTGTGGACCTAGAGAAAGCGTATGACCGGATCCGATGCAGCAGTCTATGGACATGCCTTCCTGCATACGGGATTGATGGCATGTTGCTAAGGGCCATCTAATCACTGTGTTCTGATATCAGGCGTTGTGTCAAAGTTAATGGCGTTAAGTCGAATCCATTCAACGTTCGCACTTCTCCTCCAAGTCTGCGCCCTGTCCCCTATCCTCTTTGTGTTGCATACGGGTAGAATAGTCAAGTGCATTGTTGGAGGGGATGTGAAAACGAGAAGGTTGCTGTTTGCAGACGATCTTGTTTTATTAGCTTCTTGTGAAACTGATGTTCAGTGCTCCTTAGAAAGGTTCGCAGCCGAGTGCGACGTGAGCGGCATGCGTGTGAACGCATCTGAAACAAAAAGCCTAGCGCTTTCTCATTCTCCTACCCGTTGCTTTCTTCAGATTAACGGAGAAGCAGTGGAGCAGGTGAAGAAGTTCAAGAACCTTGGAATTGTATTTACTACAGATGGAAAATTGGAAGAAGAGATCGACCAGCGAATTGGAATGGCCATTGACATTCTGCGCGAACTAGCCCGACCCATTGTGACCAAAGCCGAGCTCAGTCTGAAAACTAGGCTCTCGGTGTTCAAGTCGATCTTTATCCCCATGCTTACGTACGGTCATGAATCGTGGACCATCACTGAAAAACTTCGAACTCGAGCACAAGCTGCTGAAATGGGCCTTCTCAGACGAATCGCTGGCCTGACGCGTCTCGATATGGTCAGGAATACTGATATCCGGATAAGCCTTGTATACAGCCTTTGCTTCTCAACATTGAGAAACCACAGCTGCGATGGCGTGGATATGTGTTGCGAATGTCTCCAGAAAGGAAGACGAAGCAACTGTTTCTTGCCAAACGGAGAGGCAGAAGGAGCAGAGGAGGGCCAAGATTAACTAGGTGGAGATATATGGAAGGAGTCTGCTCCAGACTCCATTTGTCTTCTGCCGACGCTCAGACTCTGGCACAGGACCGGGAACATAGGAAGCTCTGTTTGATGCGTCTGCCTCCGCAACCCGAAAGGAGAGGCGGCCATGTAAGATGAAAATGAAGGTGTTAACAGATGATTCCTTGAAAGCGTCTTTTCGTTTCAGATCTTCTGCCCCAGTAAGCAATTAGGACTGATATTGGTTTCGGTTGGCTGATAAATTTAACATAACTGGGACGTAATGGTATCTTGAATTTAGTTTAATGCTGAATCGCCTATCTTTAAACTATATTTTCAGGTAATTCATTTGGCCTTGGTGTTCAGCTGCTGCCTCTATTGACTGATAAATCACAACCTCGATTGCGTGGGTACGTTTTGCGATTCCTTCCAGACAAAATCAGGCGATATGTGCTCGACCGACCGGTTGAAGATCTTTGTCCTTGAATAACTTTGGGGAACGATTGATTTTGTTCAGAACTGGTACTTTTTTCGCGGAGCTTCATGGACAAGCATAGGATGGAAATCGCCGAAGAAACTAGCAGAAACTGCTGTTGTCGCAAACCAGGATAAGAAACGACCCTGGAAAAGAATAGACTATTTGTTTTGACAAGTAAATTTGCCTTCCGCTTCGCGATTAATTGCATTGAAGCGATCTATGGCAAATACCTTGCTCAGCAGAATTAGCGAATTGTTTTAATTTTCGAGATTCGAACCAGCACTTGAGGCCGATCTCTTACTAATCTCTCACCACACTTCAAGATATGTTAATTTAACCTTCTTCAAGCTACATGTTTGGCTGAATTTGTCGGAACAGGACTTTTAATTGAAAAGGCGATAGTGCTAAAATGTCTTCGAAGGTACAAATATTCGCATTACTTACGGCGTTAAATATAGTTTAGTCATCCTACTACCGATGAGGCGGTGCGACTTTTCTCTACAAGCGTCATACACTGCGTCGTTTTCGTTAGCATGCAGAAAAATGAATGTATGATCTCATGCTAATTACTAGTTTGTAATACCAAAAAAATCATCCCGTTGGACTTAATCGACCGGATTGTGATATAAGTTACAAAAGAATTTTTGCGACAGTCGCTATTTTCTGGAGATAGCAGCTCGCAATAACTGGTTTTGGAAATGCGTATACTTGAATTAAAAAACCAGCAGGATCTTTTATGTGATACCGACTTGCAGTGAGCCTTACTGGAAGTTTATTACTCCTATTATTTTAACAGGTTTATCAATCCAACCCGATAGAGTTCTCAGAGACACAGTAGATAAACATTTGGTTGTATATGGTCCTAAATATGGAAGTTACAAAATGCACTTCAATGCTTGTTTTTTTCCCACAGTACTGTTTATAGGTCATCCACGCTGACAGTAATTGACGCTGCCCGATAGACCGTTATTGTTGTTTTAACGAATATCGGGATATCTGCGAACATACCTAACCATCTTTGCGGTAGATCTACCGTATGAAGAATGCAATGCCATTCGCACATGGCGAGAATGCGTCCCTAGGGAACAAATTAGTTTGGAATGAAGTTCGGAATACGCTTTCGACGATCGAAGGCAGCGTCGAGTGCTAAGTAAAAGTAGCAGCTGGCTGTGATGTGCGCTCTCGACTGAGGTTGTGATCCTTGCCTTTGCGTTGGTTCGGTATCGCCGGTTTGAAGTCGTACCGGAAGTGCGGTGTCATCGGATGCCGGCATGTTGGACGAGACGCAGCTGTGGCGAGGGTGTGTCCATTGGATGGTCCGCTGCGGAG